ATATGTTGTTTCATGAAATTCTTCTGTGTCTTCCAATTCCTTTCGATACAGTGACTCAGTATATTCCTTCCATCTTCTTTTAATACTTCCTGGATCACTTAACATTCTGCCGAAAGCATCCTTGATGATAGCAACTCGAGGTTTGAATTTGTTCTTCAGTTCCTTGAGCTTAAGATATGCTGAGCGAGGTTTCGCATTAGCACAATTAAATGCTCTGAGATTCCCATTCTTCTCAGAGAGTCAGCCACAGTTTGTTATGATCCACACAGTAAAACGCCTTTGCATAATCAGTGAAACACAGATGGACATTCTTCTGGTATTCCCTGCTTTCACCTAAGATACATCTAATCTCAACTACAATATCCCTAGTACCACGACCCCTTCTAAACCCAGCTTGGACTTCCAGCAGTTCTCTGCTGATGTACTTTTCCAGTCATTTTTGGATAATCTTCAATAGAATCTTGCTTGCATATGAAATCAATGATATTGTTCTGTAGTTTTCGCACTCAGTTGGGTCACCCTTCTTTGGAATGGCAACAAATATAGATCTCTTCCAGTCAGTTGGCCAAGTGGTTCTTCTCCAGATTTCTTGGCACAATTTGGTGAGCACGTCCATGGCAGCATCTGTTAGCTGAAATATGTCAGTTAGTATACCATCTATTCCTGGGATCTTATTTTTTACTATTTCCTTCAAAGCAGCTTGAACTTCTTCTTTCATCACCATAGGCTCTTGCTCAAATGTTATTTCATTAACTTCTTGTATATCTGCCAATTCTTTTTGATACAATGATTCAGTATATTCTTTCCGTCTTCTTTTAATACCTCCTAGATCATTTACTGTTCTGCCTAAAGCATCCTTGATTATAGCAACTCGAGGTTTGAATTTGTTCTTCAGTTCCTTGAGCTTAAAAAATGCTGAACGAGTTCGGCCCTTTTTATTTTCCAACTCTAGCTCCTCGCACATTTCATTGTAATATTTGTTGTTGTATTGTGCTAAAAATTCTCAAATAATTCTCCTTCAGAGAATTTGGTAGATTTGAACAATTAACCCTTTGGATAGCTGTGCATCACATAATGCATTATGCCCACAGAGCTCCTTTGTCAAATTTTAAGGGAGTTAAAATAAGGTGACAGATTAAAAAAAAAAAAAAACATGGTGCAATCAAATTATCAGTCCTTTCACTAATAATTAGATTAACAGAGAAACAAGTACATACTAGAAAAGAAGAAAGTTTAGAAATACTTGATTGGGGAGCTCTGGTGGCCTAGTAGCAAGGAGTTGCAACTACAATCCCAGAGGCGCATGGTTCGAACCCAGCAGAGCAGAGGGACAATCTCCTCCTGTA